CCCCGGGTTCTTCTCCAGGGCCTGATCCGGAGCTGGGAGCAGTTTCCAGGCCCCGTCCCGAGCCTGCCACGGAGCCCTTGCGGCCGGAGGGTCCCGGGCCTGTCCGGTACCGAGGATGTTCCCGCAGAACCGGCCCCCGGTGAGCCCGCTCGTCCCCTCGCAGCTGAGCCACCTCGGCCCTCGCAGGGCCTGCGCCCCCAAAGCCCGGCTCCCCGCTCGGTGCTGACGGACAGCTGAGCGCTGTTACCGTGTGTGATGCTCGGGAGCGATGCTGTGCCTCTTCCCAAAGCGGTGCTGAGCCCCAGCGCTGCGGCTCCGGGCTTTGTGCGGTGCCGGGAGCGGGATTCACACCGGGGTGTGATGGTGGGACGGTGATGGGCAGGCAGGGAGCTCAGCTGTGTGGTGGTTGGGTGAGGACAGGTCTGTGCCATGCCCAGTGCCACCCCTGGTCATTAATCCTTTCTGGCTCAGTGGCCAAACTGATGCTGACAAGGCCCTCGGTGCCTGTTTGTGACCAGTTTCCTCTCCAGTAGCTCCCTGTGCAACCTCCTGCATGTGCTGCTCTCCCAGATGTGCCCGTAGCCTCTTCCCCGGGTGCAGGAGCCCCCAGGGGGATGTGCCAGCCTCGTTGGGCAGCAGCAGTGACCCTGGAGGTCCCATCTCTGCCTAGGCCCATCTCCAGGCACCCTCTGCTGCCTCGGGAGCCGCTGTTGCTGCCAGCGCCATCCCCAGCACCCCCCAGTCCCTCAAGCTGACTTACCCAGAGACCTTGGATCGCATCAAGGAGGAATTCCAGTTCCTGCAGAACCAATACCACAGGTGAGAAGCTGCCAGAGTTCACATGCCAGCGTGTGAGCTGGGCACTTCACTGGTGCTGGCCAACAACCGGCTCCTCTGGGTGCCGGGCAGCACCGTGCGGTGTGGCTGCTGGACCGGTCCCTCCAGAGGATGGCTGTGCCAAACATCGCCTCAGTAGCTGGAAATTCCTCTGTTTGAGGGGGAAACTCACCTCCAGGAGGAGGTGCTGGCTTCCAGCACTCAGCTCCTGGGCTGAGCCAGAGCCATCACTTAGACCTGGAGGGATCTGTGAGGCTGCTGTCCAGGATCAGCTCCCCTTCCCCACACTGCGCAGGGCAGAGCAAGGTTTGAAACGCAGCTAAGCTTTGCAGCTCACTCCATTTGGGAAGCAGATGCTGGGGAGGGGGTTAAAAGTCTGTGCAAATTACTCCCTGATGCCCAGATCCCTTTACCATCCATCTCCTCTTTATCAGCCCCTTCCCGCCCTCTTTCAGGTGGTTTTCTTGGCTTGTGCTGGGAGATGGGATTGAAGCTGAGAGGAGGCTGAAGTGTGTGGTACGCTGGGAGGGCTCATGCTCTGTCCAGCCAGGGACATCCTGCCACTAAGGGGAGGACTAAGGGGGGTTGTTCCTTCTCCTTCTCTCTCTCCTCTTTATTTTTACAGCTTGAAGCTAGAATGTGAAAAGCTGGCAACAGAAAAAACAGAAATCCAGCGTCATTATGTCATGGTTAGTGAGCTCCACCTGAAAGGAGAAGGGTGGTGTGGGATCTCCTCTGAAGCATCGAAGGACATGCAGGGATGCTTTGCCTTCCCCTTGCTTTTGGGTTGTGTGGCCAGACCCTGAGATCTGGTTCCTGTGGCTGTTACTGTCTGGTTTTCCCCCAGAAAGAGCTGTGGTGTTGGAGCAGGAATTTCTGCTGCAGCTTGTGGTGGCAGATCTGTTCCTGTGTGGGTTGTCCCCATTCCTGTAGGAGTCCTGGGAGGACTGTGTCCCTCCTGTGGGCTGCAGCCATGTACCAGAGAAACCTCTGGTCCTGGGAGAGGAGCTGGGGACCGTGCTGTCCCCATGGCCTGGCTGCACCGTGGCTGTGGCCAGGCTGACATGGTGTGCCAGCACACAGACGACTTTCTGCTTGAGAGATCCCCTGGTCTCCAGAGCCGTGCTGATGCTGCCTTCTCTCCCTCACAGTACTACGAGATGTCCTATGGCCTGAACATCGAGATGCACAAACAGGTGGGTCTGGGTGGGCTGGGAGCTCTGTCCTCCTCCTTAGTCCCAGCTCCCTGGCCCAGCTTTGCCATCTGGGCTCTTAAGGGCTGTCCCCACAGATAAGATGGGAAGTTGCTCCCTGCTGTAGACCAGGAAGCCCAGTGCTTGTGGGGGATGTGTTCCTTCCTTGTGCTTTGTGTTGCTCTGTGCCACGGCCTTGGCTGCCTCCTTAGCTCTCCCCACACACGTCTGTGCTCTGGTTTTGGGTTCAGGGTGCCCTGCCTGGACTGTGACACTCCTGTTGTGTCAGGCAGAGAGCGGTGCTGAAGGACTTGTGCTTGTGTGGCTGCTCACACTGGCTGGGAGTGGTCACAGGGTGACTGCTGTGGAGGAGACTGGCTTCTTCCTCGGGGCAAGGTGCGCTGCAGGGTCACAGCAGGTTGATGGGCTCTGTCTTGACACCTTGCAGTGTCTGCTGCCCGCTGGCCCAGGGGCCAGGGCTGAGGAGCATTCTGAGCAGAAAGAAGGGTTTTGGAGTATGGGTGCAGGGTGGGCTCTCGGGGGGCTCAG